TTCTTCAAAAAATCATGATGATCTTCGAATACGAATGTTACGATTAAAGAACGCACAATGAACATGGTGATTTTGGTGTTTAAGAGATGCATTCGATTATGTATGGTGTTACAAAAAGGGATCTAGATCTAAATCTACATAAATAACACACACTTACACACTCAATTTTACATCTCTCAAGCACACCTCTACATGTGGAATAAACCCATCTTATATAGAGGTGTTTACATGTCTCTCTCTCTATCTCTCATGTCACAAGGCTAAAGCACCACATGCAAGTGGGTCTTCAAAAGTCAAACCATTTACAAAGTTATACATGGATAACTTTGTACCCCAACATTAAGTTGTCAGAGAAAATATGTATGAACTCATTTTCTTGAAAAAACAAGTTATTCGTATTTTCCAAAAACTAAGATTTCCAAAAATCATAAAATCTAACCAAACTTTCAATGATGGCCCTGATACCAATTGTTGGGTTTTTATTCAAAAATTAGTTTCAAAAACATAAACTTTAGCAACGGAAGACTTTGATTATGAACAACATAAAACAAGTTTATAACCAACCATGGATCTTCTTGCAAAGTTTGGAAAGAAAACAAACATCAAGTAAATAGAAGAGTTTAACAACCTTTGTAAACTTTGGATCCTATAAGGGAGGCTTGGAAGATAATGGAGAATGTGGTACCTTTGAGACACCAGCAAGAACTCAACTTGATTTAAGATGCTAGTCTTGTAAAACTCTTAAACTCTTAAGCTTAAAGTTCATAACCAAATTATGAACTTCAAGAGAGTAAAAATGCAAGTAAGTTGCACTCTTGATCTTCAAAAGCAAGAGAGAATGAGAGAGATAGAGAGGATTTTAGATTTTGCATCCCAAAATGAAAGCCCTCACTTCATAAAGCCAATTCATTATCCTTAGGTCCTTAGCACTTTAATCATATCATGTCCCTTAAAGTCTAAGTGTTCCCTCATGCTTTTAGACATGTCTTACTTTCCATTTGTTTAATCAAAAGCCCATGACTTGTCTAGCATATAGGAAGTCATAGTTTTGACTAATAAAAGAAATAGAAAGTTTGTGAATTTTATAAACTATTTTATACAATATAAACCTTAACTTTTTGGTAAAAGACAAAAGTGCATTTCTAGTCTAAAATGTTGTACATAACTTAATAAATCATACCCTATGATATCTATTATGTTACTTGCTAAAGAAAATTATTAATTCTAAGAAATAAATAATTCCCAATTAATTGTAAGAGTTTATTAAATATTTATTAAAATCAATTTCTAATAAATAATCAATTGTATCAAGTTGTTAGTGTGACCCATTAGTATCATATGTTAATTAGCAATATCACTTTAATATGACTCTTTAGCATACTAGATCTTTCAATATATATATATATATATATATATAATATATATATATATATATATATATATATATATATATATATATATATATATATATATATATATATATATAGACACACACACACACACACTACATATAAACAGAAAACTCAACACCACATCCAACTGACTAGCTGATTTACCAGCCTAAGAGTATACTAAAACATAACCACATTCTAAAACACAAGGATACATACTACAATCTATGAGTATAATGAGAAAACGCACTTGAATCAACAAGATGGAAGACTAACACCCGAAGTCTCATGAAATCAGCTACACGAACCTCCTGACAGAGGTTAAACCACATTCTACAACTCAATACTTATAGTTTGACCAAAGGTTAAACTTGGTCAAACAGTCAATAGTCAACAGTCAACCACTAGTACCCCGCACCGTGTCCAACTAGCTATATGGCCGCACTATGGTCACCAGACGAAAAAATAGTCGCAGCGGGTTCACGCAAACCGTGTCGTGACATACCCTTCATCGCGTCGTGGTTTCGATAAAACAATCAACTCTTATTATTGACTTAATCCCTTAAGACAAGCGTTCCAAATATCAGATCTGAAACTCCTAATCGTCTTAATGGATAAAATATCCAACTTTACCCATCCTGATGGTTGAATCAACCACAAAATAAAACCCTAAGCCCAAAAATCCATCAAAGAGCCAAAACTAAGTGCACGACTTAACCAAGAACACATGCAAGCTCATTTCTACCAAAGACAAAGTCCAAAAGCAACAAAATGAAACCACAAGGTACTGGAGTTCCCTAAACTGTAGACATAAACAAGGGACTAGAAATGACCATCAAACCAACAAACACCTAGATTTAAGAATGAAAATGCATTTAAACTCACAAAAGCTCCGGAAGATGATTACTTTGCTGGAACACCAATGAATCTCACACCAATACCTAGCTTTAAGATTCTTCCTATTAGATCTTCGTAAAAGAGATCATAAAACACACACAAGAGAAAAATGGAGGCTAGGGTTAGGAGGGGGATGTTCTCTGGAGTGGAGACTGATGAATGAGCCGAAACCCTAGGGAAGTGTGCCTTAAATAAGCCCAAACCCTGAGGCTTCTATGGTTTTGGCCTATCAGGCCCACTGCACCGTGACAAACCCTTAACTGTGACGCCACTTAAATGACGTGGCCACACCGAAATGTGCTTGCACCACCGCGTTGTGGCCAATTAAAATCACAACTTATATAATTTGAATGCCAAAGGTTAATACTGAAAATGGATATTACACCTACCACATAGATATATTCATAAATATGAATTTCAATTGAATCTTATAAGGTTTCCTCTGTGTAGATAAGCACATAACAATAGAAACATTGACATACCCCTAATATCCAATTAGGATGGAGTATGGAGATGTAGATGTCGGCAATCACACATCCATGTGAGTAAAATGACTGCTTCAAATAGATATTCAGATTGTTAGTAGTACAAATATATCTAATGAGCTTCGCCTACAATACTTATCGTGAATAGCCATGACATCTCTTTGGAAACCTTCTTGCTTTCGAGGTCCTCCAAATAATCTCCCTATGGAAAATATTATATGCCTTCTCCAAGTCTATCAAGCACCTTAATCAGTATATATTCTACTAAGGAGCTTGAGATAGCCTGTGTTACCCCTCAAATTTCTGGCATTTTGGAAATTTTTTGAATTTTTTCGGTGTAGTGTAATTTTTTCCGCATACCCCTAAAATTTGGGTGTGCTACTCCCGACATTTTGTTTTGGCCTCACCACTAATTACGAACTAGATATATATTTTGTATTTTCTACTAAGGAGATTGTGGTAGCCCTTGCTACCTCTAAAAAGTTTTAAGCATAGAAGAAAATTTTTGAGTTTTTTTTGATTTTTGAGTTTTTTTTGATGCAGTGTAATTTTTTCCAGCATGCTACTCCTAAAATTTAGATGTGCTATTCCCAACATTTTGTTTTGAGTTCACCACTGATGGCGTACTAAATAGATATTTTATTCGAACTGTTACATATTAAACCGTCACATACACCTTTTATTTATTTTTTTATATTTTTAACGACAAGTTGAACAACACAAGTTACATTAACCTAGGATTGCTTTTTTGCTAGTAGAAATATACTAGCGTTATACTTGATTTTTAAACTTGTTTTATACACTTTTTTAAGGTTACAAAGATTAAAGGAGACCTATTTTTAATGACAAGTTGAACAACACAAGTTGATATTAACCTAGGATTGCTTTTTTGCTAGTAGAAATATTTTTTTTAAGGTTGAGACCTAACGACAAGTTGTTGACATTAACCTAGGATTGCTTTTTTTGCTAGTAGAAATATACTAGCTTTATACTTGATTTTTAAAAATCCTCTTGCATTTTATATTAAAAAAAATCCTTTGAAATCTTTTAGGGTGGAGAGTCATTTTTCTAACTCTTTTTCATATCCAAGAGCCTCTCTCTTCCGGCCCATATCATTCTTTTCCAATTACTCTCTTTCCATTTCATCACTAGATCATCTTTCAATATGAAGACGCCCATCTTTTCAAATGATGAACTGAAAGATAGAATGATATATTATCATACAGATTGAAGAAATCCTGTTAGGTGACAATCAAAATATGCTAATCCGAACAATCTCCGTCATATTTTCCGGAAGTACTTTTTCCAGGAAGTACTTTTTCATTACGACAATATGAAGTCGTTCATTTTGTGTAACTATTCGAAAGTTTTGTAGGTTCGAGAAGGTAGAATCGGAAAGCTAATAGTTCCAATTCTAGAAACATGACAATTATTTGACGCAGACTAAATTTAGGAATCCATAGATAAATTTCACGACTTCAAATCAGTCACAACAATGAAAACTAGAATTACCGTATAAATCAAGCTTAACTATCGCTCTATTTTCTAGTAGTGCAAGTTTAACTATTGCCATTGAAGGATCAGTTATAAGTAAAACATATATGGTCACGATCCAAATAGGATTCATCTAAATTAAGCTTGTACTATGAAACAAGCTCTAGAGTCTAGTTCCATAGAGAAACCGTAGCCACAACGCGAATGCAAGCTAAAAACTCTTGGAATTCGTTCAATTATCCGGGTTCGATTCTACCATCGTCCTCTCCATTATATTGGAACTACTATTCGTTGACGAGAAAGATTAATCTCTAATTTTGCAATTATATGCCAAATTCAACTAGATTTTAGGAGATTCATATCTTAATCTCCAGAGATTTTTAAATTGCATCAAAATTCTATCGAGGAAGGAGACTCTTATACAGTAAGAAACACTTGATTTTCTGGAAGCGGTGGCTCGGATACAGAACATTAATTGTCCGTCGCCTACGGTGTCGGCCTTTACTAGAGTTCCGACTTCCGACTTCCGAACAAACATAAGTGAAGTACAAAAAACAACCACAATATTATTATTTTATTCAACTGTGCATAAAAGCAACATCAAAAACATCAACTCGAAAACAGCAAGTGAAAACTCTAGAATCTACAGACACGACACAACTCTAGACCCGTTGATAGAAAGAAACCTCATAGATTATACGGAGCTTGAGATGGACCAACGACACAGGGTTGATCAGGACCTAGCAGCCTCTTGGGTCCTCTGACCAACATCCTTCATTTTCTGACCCACATATCCAGCCGTGTCCTGAGCTCTCCTTTTTGCGTAATCCAACGGATCTTGCATCGACGCGCCACCGCCAACACCGCCGCCACTCATCTTCCTAAAGTAGTTCACTATGTAGGTCAGGGAAGACAGCGCCGTGATTCCAAAAGCTCCCGACGCTAGGAATCCCGTGACCGCCAACCCTATGGTCAGCGCCGCCGGGACTAGAATCGGGCTGAAAATCACAAAAAGTGGGGTGGCGACGGCGAGACCGATAAGAGTTCCGGTGAGAGTGAGACCAGCAAGGAGGAGGCAGATTCCACCAATGGGAAAGAGAGTGAGGACTGCTAAGACTTTTGAAGTAGATTGGCTGCCGTTTTGCTGGAATCGGCCCTTGTAGGCGTCGGTAGGGTGGTGCTGCTGATGTTGTTGGTAGCCATAATGCTGCTGCTGGTGCTCCGCCATTGACGGTGATGACTTGGTCTTGGTGTACGATAGTACGATTAATTAGGGGATGGTGATGAATTAACGAGGCGAAGGAGCGAGTATGTAAAGGGAAGAGGAGTTAGACGCGTGGAATGAAGCGCGACAGATGTCAGACTCTTAGGTATGCTTGATGTTGTTTTATGAAACAAAATAGGCATTACACCCTTTTGTTTCTTTTGTTTCTCTTTGCAAGTCGATATGTTCACGGAACCTAGACCGTCTTAATAAAATTTATTTAGGGAGTGTCGAGTTCCACTTCGAAAAAATTGGGATACCACAAGCCATTATTGCTATTGATTTATTTCGGTCAACTTTATTTGTTCACACTGCCGATGAATTTGTTTATGTACATATTGGTTTTATATGTCTACTTGTGATTTCACCGGTTATAATTAACTTATATGCTATTTATTTACAAAATCGTTAATGATGTGCAGGTGTGACATATGGTATGTCGTTTGCTAAAAGGGGTGTTGATGCCCGATAGCCACATGTTGTTTCACTTAAGTCCCGTTTGATAGTTTCTGTCTAGGAAAGTGATGTATCGTAAAGTGTTGTCTGGGAAAGTTTTCTGAGTGGGAAAAAAACCATATTGTTTGATTATACATCTGACTAACTGTGTTGAATGATGAAAAATGACCCGTTTTATGTCCGATAGTGGTGGGATGGATGAGATTTTTTAAAATAAATTAGGATGGTGGTGGTGTTGTCCAAAAAAAAAAGAATTAATCCAATAAAAAATGAATTAAAAAATTAACTAAAAGAAATTAATAATCCAATAAGGTAGTATTTATTAATATATAAATATTATATGTTATAAATAATATTTATTAATTATATAATAATCCAATAAAAAGAATTAATCCAAAAAAGAATTATTTAAAATAATTTAATAATCCAATAAAATAATATTTATTAATATATAAATATTATATATTAAAATAATATTTCTTAATATAAAATAATACATTAAAAAAGTAATAATTCAATAAAAAAAATTTAAAAAAGGTTATTTAAAAAAAATTAATAATCCAAGAAATAAAGACATATGCGGGGTTTGGTGCATAACTGTCTTTCCAGCCCATTCAGCCAAAAAGATATGATTTTGGGGCTTTCTGGGAAAGACATATCTTACCGGGAAAGACCCATTTTTTTGTGCAAATCAAACAGTCTTTCCGGTCCATTCAGCCAGAAAGATCTGTTTGAATCTGGAAAGATGTGTATCAAACGGAGCCCTACTCCACCTAGAATTTTATCGCGGGGGGGGGGGGGGGGGGGGGGGGGAGGACAAGTATGTGACGTGAATGACACCAAATTGGTGATGCTAAGGGTGGGGCCCGGTATGCCTCATATGCCCTTGCTACATAGGATGTTGCCTCATGTGTTCCAATTCCTTTAGCCTTATAGATACTTTTATACTTCTTCAAATCTAAAAGGGTTACAATTCCTTTAGCCTTATAGTATTATAAAATAGTCATAAAAGGTTTGCAACATAGTTCTAGCGCTTGTCGACAAGCTTCGATCAACTACAGAGGACATTGATTAAGGTACGTTCCTCTACAAATTTGAAAGGTGATAGGATATTTGAAATCCTAATCATCACAATAAAATTTAATTTTTTTTAGGATGACAACTTTTACGGATATTCATGTTGATGATGATGAAAGGTCTTTGACAATGGACATACATTATAAAAAGGGCTTTTGACATAAAAGTCCTTAAGTTTTTCAAGTTTTGTTGGTTTTGTCCCTGTGACGATTTTTTGTTCATTAATGTCCAAAATTTGCCAAATTTTTTTCATTTTTGTCATTTCTACAAATCTTTTATGTTTTTACCCTAAGTATCTTTTTCAAATTTGCAAAAAAAACCCTTAAGTTTACAAATCTTATATGTTTTTATCCTAATTATGTTCTCAAAATTTGACATGAAAGTCCTTAATTTTGTTAAATTTTGTCGGTTTTGTCCCTGTACACCTACTATTATAGGTAGCATGGGCAAAAATGAAAAAAACTTGGCAAATTTTGGACATTAACGAACAAAAAATTGTCACAGGGACAAAACCAACAAAACCTGACAAACTTAAGGACTTTTATGTCAAAAGCCCTTATAAAAACACTTTTGTTTTAAATATCATAAACTACACAGAATGTACCATCTTAATTTTCAGTGATATGGATTTCGTAAATGTGAACTATGACTTTAATGTATTTCTCCATGAAATAGTAAATAATAAAATACATATTGTTTACTATTTTAGTCTTAACAAGCCATTGCCTAATGAGATTAAAATGACCATCAAGCTTTAAGTGTTATATATAGGGAATTCATAGATCATGACCTTAAAAAAGGGGTTGAATTAGCGTGTGTAACTCCTCTATTTTAGGGCTATGTTTTTAATATTTTCAGGAAATCATTCTGAGAAAAATTAAATTAAATCAACTAAATAGTATAAAATATAAAAATAATTTAAATAATTAAAAGTTTCCAAGATTTATAGAGAGGTATAACAAAATTAAATGGATAAGATTTAAGGACTAAACTACTAACCTTAGAAACATAAGTTTGACTTCATCTTAACTAGTTTGGGTCCAAAAACTAAACAAGGGTAATTTAGTATAATACAAGATAGATGTTTATTTGGTACCATTAGATGGCAATTGGAATTAAAAGGAGTAAAAGTTTCAAATTTGCATAGCTTAGTTTTAACTTAGTAAAAAGATTTGACATAATTATTAAGAAATTAAAATTTAAAGGCATAAGTTGGGGTTTCTTGGTGGAACAATGTAGTCGATATCATTTTGGGATCAAAGTCAAAAATTAAGAATTTAGGGACCAAAGTTGTTTGTTATTTAAAGATGAAATCTAAGATTCCTAATTCCTTATTCTCCTTCATTTGAACATGGATTGGCTGGAAAAAAGAGAGGGAGAAGGGTTTTTGAAGGAAAACTGGATATCTATCGAGTTTCATTGAAGAATTGAGAGTACATTAAGTTGTCATCAAGAAGAGGGAGCATGGAAGGTATAATGTATCTTCATATTAGTTTGTTAAGCTTCTAGATGTTATAATTATAATTCAAATATGAATTATATGATGTAATTTTTGACTATATCTAGCTCTTTGTTAGATTCCATATTTCCAACACCAATCTAATGATGAAAGTCTATCTTCTTGGCCATTGATCAAGTTATAAAGCTTTAATTATAGGTTTGAAACCTTAATTTCATGAATCCATAACTAGATCTTGTGGATTTTGAATTCAATTTATGGATTAAGTCAATGTGGTTTGGATGCTAGTTTACCAATACAAACTCCAATTCATAGCATCAAAAACCTCAACCAAATCAATGGTGGATTTATAATCTCTAATGGAGTTTTTGAGTTCATAACTAGACACATCTCTCATTAAATAATTATGTTGTAAATTAATCATGTTATTAAGGTCTAAATATAATTATATTTTAATTAGTATCATATTTGATACAAATCATGGGTGAAACCCCCAAACTAGTGATCATTTCAAAGTTTTAAAGCATGAAAATAGAGTTTTTGAAATGATCTATTTAAGTTGTGGTTTTATGATGTTACTGATGACATAAGAATGTTAATTCATATGTAATTAAGTATATAATGTATCTTAGTCAATAAAAGGTATTGAAAAGGATGTTTGAAGTGTGAAATCAGATAGAGAAAAGTAGGTTGTTGTTTTTGGTCGAATGGTGTGACCTACTATTAATATGGTCAGTGTGTTTTTCTTTGGAAAAGACACAAGTACTCATACACTAACCTATAAGAACTCACATAAATTCCTAACTTTACCTTGGGTCATTAAAGGATCATTTGAATGTTTCCCTTGATTATATACGACCATATTATGAATATTTAAAGGTTTAAAAGAGATAGTTAGGTGTAGTAACCTAATTAGCATATCAAGAGTTAATTATATATCTTATTATATATAGGTCTTCCATAATCCTTCTATAGGTTATAAGAATTCATCGAAGGATAGACTGTAAAATTGAGGTGAGTACTCTACCACTTGTAACGTACAAAAAATTACAATAAATTCAAAGTTTTAATAAATACGTTTATTTAATATAAAATCTCAATCATTTTTTACTTAACCAAATCCCGTTAAGTTTAACCTTAACAATCATACTAATAAAATTTGTTATGTTCACAAACTGACAATCAAGCAACAGAAATAAAAGAAGATATGAGATCATCATTTATAAAAATCATCAAGTCGTGCCATGTGCAAAGCCAAGCTATGCTTTTCCTTTTACTAGTACATGCAGTTGCTGAAACAGTAATTTTAGGAGGGAAAGGGTAAGCACGAAGCTTAGTGAATTCCAACACAACTTTATACATTAGTATACATATTTTACACCCATCACAGAAATAAAACATACATGCCAACGATTTGTAATCCAAACATACCACATATATTTACATCTAGCAAACCACCAATCGATAATATAAACATATAGGTCAGGTAAACCAACAGAATAAAACCACACATATAAGTTTAAGAACTAGTCAATAAATGAGCATCCACTAAAGACTCGAAGTTCCTGCCTTCATTCTATTGACTTGGTATTACTTCTTTCAGTCTATTATACTTCCTTCAGTCTATTGACTCGGATTACCGCCTTTAGTCTATTGACTTGGCATTATCACCATCGGTTTATTGACTAAACATTACCGCCTTCAGTCCATTGACTCGACATTATTGTCTTTAGTCTATTGACTTGGCATTACTGCCTCCAGTCTATTGACTCGAGATTACCGCCTTCAGTCTATTGACTCGACATTACCGCATCCAGTCTATTGACTCGTTATATTTGCCTTCAGTCAACCGTCTCGACATTGCTTCCTTTAGCCCAATATACCCCATACTATCAATACATGCCATACAGCTTAGTACTAACCACACACACACACACACACACACATATATATATATATATATATATATATA